AGAGATGTAATTTTTTTTTAAAGAATTTTATTAAAAACTTTGAGTTGAACTGTATTTAAAAGTAAATCAAATGAGTTATTTGAGAAGAGGGCCTGCTATCATATTAAAATTTTACTGTAAGCATATCCATTTTTACACACAGTATGAATTAAAACATCTGCTATGTGGTTTTAAGGGGCCACATTGAGACTGGATGATCTTTCTGCACATCTAGGGAGACGGAGCTGAAAGACAGATCAAAACAGCCCCTTCACACTGGAGTTTCAGTTAAGACACTGATCCTGATTGCTTCTTACTATAGGTTCTTGGTATCCCGAAACCTGAAGTTCATGGCTTGCTATTACAAAATAATTGATATGTATCACAAAACACTTGAAAGATAATTAAAAGGTTATGCAATTGACTATCTCTTATCCCACCCAACATTCTTTCCCTCTTCTTTATATTCTGATTGACTTCTTTCCTAATCCTATATATCTCAAAAAGTGACTGTAACTTTGATCATACTGTATGGTCACAGCTATATTACAATAGCATGTTTTGTTTCTCTAGTAACTAAACCAGTGTGTAAAATTAGCATGTTCCTATGTCATGACAAGACAGAGGTAATTCTTTTATTAGAGAACTAATATTTAGAGTATAAGCTTAATTTACACAATCGGGCTTTTGATTACATATCAAAATACTGCCCTTAATACAATCTTAGAGGTGCTACTTGTTCATTAAAAGATATCCCCAAATACAATCCAAAGAAGGGTTACCATACAGAGTGTTCACATACAACTAAAGTCTTTCAAGTTAAAGAAAGAAAACTTTCTCTGTAATATCTTTAAAAGATATTTCATTGTAAGTATTCCTAATTTTGGTGACAGACTAACCTCAGATGAAATTCTATGTATGTATGTATGTATGTATGTATGTATGTGTGGATGGATCTATCTATCATGTATCTATCTATCATCTATCTATCTATCTATTTTTATTTTTCCCTCAACATAATATTTTTATCAATTATTTGGGAATTTCATACAATGGACCCTATCACACTGTTTTCCATTCCTCCCAGGTCCACCCTCCCACTCCTGTGTACCCCCAAAACACACACACACACACACACACACACACACACACACACACACACACACACACAAAGTCCAATTTGTGTTGTCCACATACTCATTGGAGCATGGTCAAACTCCAAATGGCCAGAGCCTTAAAGAAAACTTAGTCCTTCCTCATCATCCAGCAGAAGCCATTAACTATGAAGAGCCACACTTTCAAATCTTTATCACAGTTTTTAAAGACTCTCTTCAACAGCTTCCTGTTTGCACTGCCTTATTTAGGGGTTATCACAAAAGTCTTCAATCTCTCTCTCTCTCTCTCTCTCTCTCTCTCTCTCTCTCTCTCTCTCTCTCTCTCTCTCTGGGTTTTTCGAGTCAGGATTTCTCTGTGTAGTTTTGGTGCCTGTCCTGGATCTCGTTCTGTAGACCAGGCTGGGCCTCGAACTCACAGAGATTCGCCTGGCTCTGCCTCCAGAGTGCTGGGATTAAAGGCGTGCACCACCACCACCTGGCTCTCATTCTCAATTATGAGTCTTTAGTCATCAACACCATGGCCCATAACAGTCAGAGGCAGCATGGATCATGGACCTCCGCATGGTCTCTGTTTCCATGGACATGATGGACCACAGACATCAACCTGGTCTCCTGCACCAGCACAGAACAGGCATGTCAATATGGTCTCTGGCAGTAACGTGGACCATGGATATTAACATGGGCACTGTAGCCAGTATAGACTGCAGACATCAACATGGCCTCCAGCAGCAGCATCGACTACTGAAGTCCCTCCAGGAGATCCAATCCAGAAAACCATTCTTCATCTCTGATACCTTGTTCAAAGTCAGGGTGATAGTGTGGTTGGGCAGCATGTCCAAGAGCAGGACCTGCTATAACAGTGCTTTCTCATCAGGACCTCTAGCCAGCAAATAACAAGATGGAGACTTCTTATTAGTTATGAAAGTTTGACCTTTAGCTTAGGTTTGTTTTAAACTACCTCTTATAACTTAAATTAACCCATGTTTTTATTAATCTATATTCTACCACATAAATTTAACCTCTACCTCATTCTGTGTGACCATCTCTTTTTAGTGTCTGGCTGGCAATTCTCCTAGATTCCTCTCACATTTCCTCTCTTTGCCCAGAACTCCTGCCTAGCTCTCCTGCCTAGCTAATGGCCATTTAGCTCTTTATTAAACCAACCAGAAGGTGCCTAGGCAGAGATACATCTTTACAGTGTAAACAAATATTCACAACAATCTTCACCAGCTCCAAGCTGCTGTACACCACCCTGCCTCCTGTGCCAACTGCCCCATCAGTACACAGGGCACAACCATCTTGTATGCAGCCCAAGGGCAGCACCAGGGTCCCTGCTCTTCTTCCCCCAGAAGGGTGAGCAGGGCCAGTGGCAATAGTAGCAGTTGCTCCATGCCATGGACCTTACCTATCGCGAGCTGACCGATCCAACTGTCAATGACATGCTCCCTGTCACTTACTTCTCCAGTTCTGCCCTCTCTGATGCACATACCTCTCCATCATCCCTCCATTGTGCACCCATCCATCAAAATGGCATTGACATCTACTGTGGGTCACACAGTATATTGTTTTGCCCAAACAGCTGCAAACACTGATTTCAGTGAGTCATTGATCTGGTTCAAGATTTCTGAAGTACCATAAATACTGGAACACCACTGAGACTCATCTTGAATATCCTATTGTTGCCCAGAGACGTGGTGATCATGTGGCTGGGCAGCATGTCCAGGGACAGGACCCACATGAGCTCCAGGCCACTGTACATTTACTTTGCCCCTCCGTGCCAGCTGCACTGCCGGCATCCCTGGCAGGACCATTGTGCTTGCAGCCTGCAGGCAGCCCCGAGCTCTCCTACCCAAGCAAGTGACAGCAGCAACAGCAGCAGCAGCTACATGCTGCAGCTCGGGCCTGCGAGCTGAGGGCACTACCAACCCAGTGGGCAGTCGTGGGGCATGGCAGGCCAGTGGTGGCTGGTGCCTCCTGCAGCCTCCTCAGCGAGGCCATGCTCCATTGTCTGCTGTGGTAGCGCTGTCCTACCTATTGCTGTTGCTCTTCACCATGCGCTCTGCTCTGTCCTGTCATCTTTTTTGGTTTTTTTTCCAATTCCATGAAACCACCTTTTAAAAGCAAATTCCTGTATCTGTATCTGACTTTTTTTTTTTTGGAGAGCAGGTTTTCCTGTGTAGTTTTGGCATCTGTCCTGGAACTCACTCTGTAGACCAGGCTGGCCTCGAACTCACCAGAGATCCGCCTGGCTCGGCCACCTGAGTGCTAGGATTAAAGGCGTGTGCCTGCCTTTAAAAAGTTGTTCCAGGGGTACTGCACACTTGATGGGCTCGTTCTCCACCACTATGTCTCGAAGCCTCCATGGGTCTCTCAGACTCCTCAGAGAGCCATCCTCCTCTCCTACGCCCTTCCTCCATCTTGAATCAGTCTTGCTCTAGGATGAAATTTTAAAAAGAGAAAAAAAAAAAAACACCCACAATTCTTCTGCTCTAATATAGCCACTCCAGAGCATATTTTCCCCATGCTTTTATAGAGATATAATAAGACACTGTGTGCAATTTTCCATTCCTCTTCCTTAATATATTATCATCACCTTGTCTTATTTATTAGTATTTATTATTATTGTAATAGTTGCATAATCACACACCAACTAGTATTTGCAATAACACAAATCTTCTGTCTTGTGAGCAAGTGAAAATTACATAGGACACTTGGAGAAGAAAATATTTGAAAATATTCTAAATATTTTTTTCTTCTGTATCTATCACTTTCTATCTGTTTTTCTCTCTCCTTCCCTTTAAGGTTTTACTCTGTAGACCACACTAGCCTCAAACTCAGGGCATCCTCCTGCCCCAGGCTCCTGCATGCTGCATTTATAGAGGTGAGCCACCAGTTTGGGTTCTAAAGCAGTAATTTTATTTTCTCAAAAGAAGAAAGATCTATTTATTTATTTAACGTCTATGTGTGTGCTTGAGTGAATGCATTTGCACTACGTATGCTTAGCTGCCCACAGAGGCCAAAAGAGTGTGTTAGACCTTCCAACTCCAAACTGGAGTTGTAAGCAGTTGTGAGCTACCCAGCCTGGGTGGTAGGGATAAAAGCAAGATCCTCTGTAAGAGGGGCAAGTACTCTTAACTACTGAGCCATCCTTCCAGCTCTTACAGCAGTGATTTTAAAATCAAGACCCTTGGTATGCCCTTAGCATTTCCATGGTAACAGTGATAAAGAGAGGGATCTGGTACCACCCACTCTTCCTGAAGCCAAAATATATTTTTTTCTGAAAATAAGACAAGTGGATCTCAGAAAGACAAAGGGGTTAAGGAGGAGAGAGAGAGAGAGAGAGAGAGAGAGAGAGAGAGAGAGACAGAGAGAGAGACAGAGAGAGATATTAAAGGACACAACTTTTGTGATGGAAGGTGTGTGTGGGTTAGTTTTCTGTCAACTTGATGTGGGCTACAACAGTGGGTTTCAACCTTCCCAGTCCTGAGACTCTTTAATACAGCTGCTCATGTTATAACCTCCAACCATAAAATTATTTTCATTGCTACTTCATAACTATAATTTTGCTACTTTTATGAGTTGTAATGTAAATACTGATATTCAGGATATCTGATGTCGGACCCCCATGAAAGGGTAGAGACCCATAGGTTGAGAACTACTGAGCTGGAGTCAGCTGGTTAAAGGAAACCTCAGTTGCCCTGATAAGGTTGGCATATAGGCAAGTCCATGGGGTGTTTTCTTGATTAATGATGGGTGTGGGAGGGTTCATCCTGCTTTGGGTGGTGCCACCCCTAGACACATGGTCCTGGGTTGTATAAAAGAAAACCAAGATAACAAAGTCATGGAGCACAAACCCCAGAATAAGCAGTTTTCTTCTGTGGCCTCAGCTTCAGTGTCTGTTTCCAGGTCTCTGCCTTGAGAGTCTGTCCTGACTTCTTTCAGATGGACTATAAGTTGTAAGATGGAATATGTCCTCCTGTTCAAGTTGCTTTTCATCCTGGTGTCTATCACAGCAGTAGAGAACAAAGTAGAACATTTGCTAAAAGTGATACAGGGTAAGTATCTGAGTTTCCTGATCTATAAAATTTATAAGTTAATGTTACCCAACTCACTGGCTTGTACTGGAGACTAAGGAAATACATATGTGATAGGCATGTATTACTAGAACAATGCAGGCATCTAAATGTTGTGTACTTTAGAAATAAATAAGATGTAATAATGGGAGATATATTGTCCAGATAACACGCCTAGTACATTCATGTAAACTTCAAAATAAGAAGGAGATGGACAGACAGATCTCCCAAGGGTAGCAACAACCTCAAACCAAAAAACAAACCTACACAGAGGTTTGGGGTAAAACTACCAAGGGTGGCCAAGGAACTCTGATCCCCCACAACTATGGGACTGAAAACAACTCACTTGAATTCTCTTTGTTTTCACCCCTATTCAAAAGTGGAAATAATATTATCTTTCTAGCAATGAATGAAATAACCCCCTCAGAGCACTCAGCCTGTGACTTTGCTCTCCTAAATCTTCAGGAATAGATAGTTAAGAATCACCCCAAACACAATGACTTGCTGTTCACCTAGGATTATGTGTGGCCACACCAACAACTTGTTTCTGTGGGGCCAAAAATGCTACATGTGGTATCCAGATGGCCATAGAGGCGAAGAACTTTGGTTTCACTTTTCAATTTGCAAATGGACAACAGAAAAGAAATTAAGTTCCAGATAGCTCTGAACTCACTGTGCCAAGACTTTCTCTGTTATTGCAGGCAGTGGAGTTTAGGAATGCTGGAATCATGTGGAACATGCTGCCTTGGGAGTTAGGTGAGACAATCCTGGTTTAGATTTTTTTCCTAAACATGTCACATGACTTTCGGGAGGTCAGCTCTCAGTTTCGTGTTAAAATTATCTTCTCACTCAGATAACATGGTTGAACTACAGACAACCTCAGGTGTCTTCTATCTCTATAATTCTTTGGATGCAGAAATATCTGTACTAATTGGAGAGTCTCTGGGGATTAACAGTTGTTGGGGCCGAAGTCTTGTCAGTAACAATGTTGCACAATCTCAGTGTAGACAGCTACTTGGAGATCAGTTACATTGGCTCCATCTTTCTTCCCTGTGAGAGGGAGTTATTAAACAAAATAACTGGGATTTGCTAGATAAACTCCAACAGAATAAGGATGGTGTTTTTTTTCTCCTTAAAAATATTTTGTCTAGATATTGGATCATTAGAATCCTTGTATTTAGCTTAAACACTCCTTGTCTGTGAAACAAAATGAACAATCAACCTGATTTAACATTGTCTCTGGCCCTAAGCAGAGAAAAATAAACATTTTGGTCAGCAATAAAGTCGAATTAGAGAATGTTTGCCTTATTTAGTCATGGCCTGGCTGAGTCATTCTGACTGATATTGTTTGGATTGAAAACTAGACCAGATGTTCCTTAAAGGAACTAGAGATTAACTATCAGTCCAGCCATATTATCTTTACGGGTGAGTAAAGTCATCTCTAAAGAATTTCCTGAAGTTGTCACTAAGGTCACTGATTGTAGTTAGAGCTAACACTTTAGTAAGTACACCATATGTGTTTAGTAACTAGGAACGTTACATGCAGGGATTCATATAGTAATTCAGCAATCCACGGAGTGGGGTACCACTGTTAATCCTGATTTCATGAGTGAAGTAACTGAGTTTCAGATAGGGCAAACGGTATGTCTACGGTCACCCAGTAAGTGGTGAGAAGGATTTGAACATAGGAATTGTTACCCTTTGGGTACTGCTTTCAAGCTATACCAAGTTACATGGTACTCAAGACTATTTAAAGCCCCGCTGCCAAGCCAAAGCAGGATGAACCTTGAAAGTTTCAAGAACATTAATTTATAAGTGGGTGAAGAGAAATATCAATTACCATGAGAAAGAAAACAGCCCTGAACTCTAGGGGAAGAAGGAATGCTGAATCGGGAAAGGGGACTATTATATCTATGTGTCTGATATCTATTTAGAAACTTCTTAGGTTATCAAAAAACAAGCAAAAATCTTTTTTGTTCAAACTCTTTGAACTAATGGTCTGTATTTGAGTATGTTTGAAGGAATTTGAGAATGAAGTGTAGACCTTGACTTCTTGTCTGCATGAGATATCTGGAACATTTTTTATTACGATCAAAGCAAAAGGGATAATATTGCTTCAAGCTTTTTGTTTAATCTTTAAAAGCAGCAAAACAAAGCTATTGGATTTTCCTCCTTGATGATGGAATCCCAGACATTTCTTTGTTGTGGAGTTTGGTGGCATTATTATACTGTTTCATACAAGCATTCTTCTGAGCTTAACTTAATACTCAACACTGTTTTTTTTAGCAAACACTCTCCAACAATATAAAGAGAGCATAACACTTATGCTATCTGTTTATTTCTTAAAACAACAGAGCGTGAGTCTGGCTAGGGAATCAGGTAGAACAAACACAGATCACTACAACTCCCTCTGCTTCTTCAAATCCAGTCACCCAGTCTTGCTCCCTGCTCCATAGCAGACTGCCTGTGGCAGCTTTCCTGTCCCTTTCCTGCCCCCATTTCCAGTTATCTCCCCCTCCAAACATTCTTCTGTCCACTCATTGCTATATCCCAGTCCCCAATTCCGGCAGGCATTCCTTGAGAACCCACAGGCCACTCCAGCCAGGGAAGCAGGTACTCTAACTGCCAATCTTCACATCTCCCTCCTTTCCTCCAAATCCAGTCCCCCTATCTCATCCCCACATCTGTAGCAGACCATCTGCTGCAGCTTCTTCCTCCTCTCCGCCCCCTCCCCATCTCCAGCAGATCACAGAGATCTTTCCCTCCAGCCTCAGGGCTAAAATCAGTAAAGTAGAAACCAAACGACAAAACAAAGACTCAATGACACAAAGAGTTGGTTCCTTAGAAAATCAGTGAGATTGACAAGCCCTTAACCAAATTAACTAAAAGGTGGAGAAAGATTATATAAACTAACAAAATTGGAGATGAAAAGGAGGACATAGCAAGAGACACCAAGGAAATCTAGGAAATCTAGAGAATCATAAAGATATACTTTAAAAACCTGTTAAAAATTGGAAATGGATAATTTTCTTGATACATATCACCTACTAAAGTTAAATAAAAAGTGGGTAAGCAATTTAAACAGAACTAAAATTCCAAGTGAAAAAGAAGCAGTAATTAAAAGTCTACCCAAAACAGAAAAAAAAACCCACAAGGTCAGATGATTTTAGCACAGAACTTTACAGACCTTTAAAGGAGACTTAATGCCAATACTCCTCAAATTATTCCACAAAATATAGACAGAAGGAATATTGCCCTATTTATTCACACAGCCAGAGTTCTTTACCCTAATACACTACCACATAAAGATCCAACAAGGAAAGAGAATTACAGACCAATTTCCCTTATAAATATAGATTCAAAAATTCTCAATGTTATAGAATTGCAAAACAAATCCAAGAAGACATCAGAAAGATTATTATCCACCATGATCAAGTGGGCTTCATCTAAGAGATGCAGGAATGGTTATTCAACATACATAAATTCATGCATGGTATTCCTCATATTTGCCAGGAATGAGCTTATGGTTTAGCTTACATCAATTAGACAAAGGAAAATGTGAGCTATTTAGAGTTGAAAAAACTTCTGAAAATTACCTTAATACATCATGTGGATCACTTGGCATGAGATATTAAACCCTGCCTATACAGCCATTTTACCATGAGAAACATCTTCTTTGGGATGAAAGTATCAGCATGGATTACAGGGCAGAATCTTGGCATCAGTGAGTTGATGAATCAAATGAGTCCTGAAGCTTCCCTGACTCTGAGCCTTTCAGTCATGAAGGGTATTACCTATTCTTCCCATTTGATCAGTGATGACATGGTTAGTTCATACTCCTTTGCTACAAAGTTTCTGTTCTGTGATAGACAGATACACAAAGAGTTATTTGGGATGGTACAATACAAGTTTTACATTTCATTTTACAAATTCTACATGCTTTTTTTTTCCTGTTGAGGATTAATTCAAACATAGTTCCTCCACCGAGGTTTCATAGTTCATCCAAGTACTTCCAGAAAGCAGATCTTCTATTTTAGTATTTTCTAATCAATCAAATAATATCAATTCCTATGCTCTGATAACAATCCTTGCAACCCCCCCTGGGTAGAGGCACTGCTAAGTTCTGCTTATTTGAATGTATGCTTTTGCTTCTTCTGGGCCACTTATCAGCCCACAGTGCAGGCTCTGGTAGAGCCAATATGTTATAGTGCTATTTCCTCCCAATTTCTTTTGTGTCCAGTCTGTTGTGGTTATGTTGTCTTCTTGCTATCATTCCTAAGTGACAACCACTGTCTTACCTCAGACCCTTTGGACATGGCATGCTCTCAGCCAGGAGAAGCCTTTTTCGAGTTGAGTTCATGGTTTCTTCACTCAAATTCTTTAAGTCTTTTAAAGTGCCATCTTCAGGAGGCCTTCTATGACCTATCTTTAAAATTATAACCAATTCTTACCCTTTCTTTGATTATATTTTTATCTCACTCCATAGCTCTTGGCAGCTTCTCTCATTTTTTTTTAATTTATGCCTGTTTTCTTATGGCAGTTGGAGATTTTTTTTTCCATTTTAAAAACTATAACCTTAATGTCATAAATAGCACCATATTTGTAATGGAGATATAATAAATACATGCTGAATTTATTAAGTAAATGAGTGAATTTACAGAATAGAGTATAAATAACCTCATTTAAAATGAAGTCCCATACCTTTTACATCAATACTCTATACAGCAAATTATGACTTCTACAAATTAGTCTATAAATGTTTCATAATATTCTGCTTAATAGGATTTTACATGTAAAATGTCATACAAGGAAAAGTAGAAATGCATGCATTATAATATTACACATTGCATCCTCTTTACAAAGCACAGGGAAAAACACTGTTGTATATAGCCATTGATGTCCTTATACAGACTTGGGAAGTCATTGAGAGTGAGGGTGTCTTTTACATACTCTCAGCTCTTAGCTGTCATCTAGTCACCTTAAGACTAATGGTACACTTATCGGAGAGCTGATCTCCCAGACAATATTTTTATTCTTATGTACACTTCAACAGCTATGAAATTATTCATGCTAATTTTTCAATGCAGAGCTTAATTTTGTATTTTATCATGGAGGTGGTGTCACCACTAGGGCGTGTAAGATCCTCTAGGACAAGAATTAAAGATGGTTGTGAGCCACCATGTGAATGCTGAGAATTGAACCCAGGTCCTGTAGATGAGGAGCCAGTTCTCTTAACCACTGAGCCACCACTCCAACATCCCATGATCCATGTCTTAAACCCATATTTGTTCCCACTTTGTAAATCTGTGTGTTCTCTGAGCCAAAGGACCAAATGGCAGAATCATTGTTTAACTAATTAACTTATCATACAGTCCAACATGGAAATAAATCATAACTTAAAGATGGAGTTGAGAATTATTTCCTACAGAGTTAGATTCTAGAGATTCTTCATTTTGTCTCCTTGCCTTTTCCATCATAAAACCTGGTGCTGGGGAAAAGGTGCTGGTGATTCTCAGATAGAAATGATGCTTTGGTATAAATACAGGTATAATCTAAAATCAGAATAGAAATAACCCTGCTACAGGTTGATAAGAACACAGATGGAATGATGATAAAATGAAAACATGTCTTTACTTTTCTTTTTGAGTCATCTTGTGGTTCTTGTGGAGTCAACAGAAGTGGTTTCTTCTACATGATTTCTTGCACTGCCCTATGCCAACCCCATCCAAAAATCAAGGTCAGGGCCATGGCAATTCTGGCTCTGTCTGGCAGAATAGGGTTGGCACTTTTAAGGCCCTTTTCAGTGGTAGAATTAATATGTATGACACAAAAGGACAAGATGTACTTTCTTCTACTTGAATGCAGTGTCACTCTTTTCAAACAATAAGCTAGAAGATTTACTGCTCACAGGTGGTAAGAATGGAAAAAGCAGATGGAGAAGGAGGGGCAGAGAGTGATCTCGTCAGGAGAGACACGACCACTTCTTTCTTTGTAACAGGAATTTAGGTATAGAGGTTAGACCCAACAGAACAGGCACCCCAAAATACTTATTGAGTCACTAAATGAACCCATGCTTTGACTCAAATCTGAATTTAGATTTTTTATATTACTACTTTTTAAAACCTCTTTGAGCTTCTGATTTCAGCTGCAAAATGGAAATAAGATGCATTACACAAAAATCATGAGTGCAGAGCTCTTATACCATCACGAGCTCAGAGAACACTCATGAGCAGGATCTGCTCTGATTCTGCTTGACATTTTCCTGCCTGAACAAATTAAAGAGGGAAATGAAGGGATAAGAGTGGTGGGTTCACTGAAGATAGTTTAATGATGCTCCCTTTTCTACTTTCCCTTGTTCTTATTTACTTGTAGGTGTTCTAGAAACATCTAGAAACTTACCTGCTAGCTGAATATATGAATGGTCTCACCATCTTCAGGGAACTCCATAATGATCTATGGAAGTAGTCAGACTGTAATCATATTCTACTCTGAGGACCTCGTGGAATGCATAGAAATACCTGGGGATATATCATGACATCTTTTTGATACTTGAAACATCAGATATCTATATACAATTTTATTTATTTCTTCTTGCCCCTTTCTCAAACATTTGGAAACACAACATTTGTAGACATCACCATTGGTATATCATGAAAATATCTATTCATTTACTTACTCATATATTTTGTAGGCTCTGTGTAACAAGTCACACAATAAATATTTAATCTCTGTCCTAATGAAATCTCACCTGATGAGTCAGATAGAAGTTAAAAAAGGAAAGATATGCAAAACCAAGGAGCCTGAGTTATAAACCACAAAAGATATGAGATCTTTGGGATGAATGTTCTGGTTCTTAAATTGATAATTAAATATTTTGTGGGGAAAATTGTAGATGTAATTCTAAACAGTCTTATTAAATAAGAAACACAGAGCCAAATACAGAGTTAAAAGCCCAGAGATCAGAGCATTAGCCAAGAACTGAAACCACCTTATTTTACCACTTGCTGCTGTCCTTCCCCTGAGAGAGAGACCTTCCTGTGTCCTGTCTTTTTATTGCCGTTCTGTCGTGCCTTCTCATTGGCTGTAAACCCAACCACATGACTTCCTTGACACTGCCTGTCTATACAGACCTCCAGGTCTCTATGGTTCGTACTGAGATTAAAGGTTCGTGTCACCGCTTGGCTGTGTCCCTTGAACACAGGGACTCTGCCTGCCATGTGATCAGATTAAGGGCGTGTGCCACCACCGCCAGACTTCTGCTAAATGGCTTACGCTTAGCTCTGATCCCCAGGCAACTTTATTTATTAACATACAAATAAAATCACATTTCAGCACAAATAAAATATCACCATAGAAAATAGCATCAGTAAGTCTAGAGATGACAGAGTGACTGACTTAAATTCTTCTTACATTATTAATTCTAAATTTTATCATGTTTGTAAGCATCTAGCTATCTACTCACATTGTAGATTGATTGTCCACCATGGGCTCATATGTTTACACATTTGCTCATTAGCTGGTGTCACTGTTTTGGAAGGTGAAAGAGCCTTTGGGACATGAGTCCTAGCTAGAATGTGTAGGGTACTATTGGCTGGCCTTTGAAGCACATGCCCGCCTTTGGTTCTGATCTAGCAAACTGCCCCCCTACTACCACATTGTGAAGAAGTTGCAGGTGTAGATTCCTGCCACTTTGAAGAAAGCCACTTTGAACAAGAGGTGAGACATCCTTCCCAACTATGATGAGCTGGGATTCCCCAAAACTTGGATCTCAAATCAATCTCTTCTCCATTGTTGTTTCTGTTAGTTATTTTGTCACAGTGATGAAAAACTTAACTAAAAATGTATTTAAACAATTGATATAAAACAGATAATTTAAAAAGAAAATGAAAATAAATTCCTATTTTTCAGAACAATGGAAATATGGGGGGGTGTGGAAATAGACATCCTTTTTAGTTTAAACCTGGGAGAAAAGATGGATAGAATTATTGGATTGTGAGACAACAGCAGTAGTATATGTTTTAGTTTGTGACTACTTTAAAAAGTGTCACTGTTTTAGGTCATTTTGTGGAATACCAGAGATTTCCCATATATTCATATCTGAATAATGATGAAGACAAAAATTTGTAATCTTGAGAGCACAGAGAAAATACTATATTGAGTCTAGCAAGGGTAATACTGAATCTAGACTTATTAAGAATTTTCTTTATTAAAACAACAACTCTATACTAAAGCATTAGAGGACATAAATTAAAAATATATAGGTATAAACACTGCCCAGGGGCAAAATGGAATGTTACTAAAATCTTTTTTTTTTTTTTTTTGGTTTTTCGAGACAGGGTTTCTCTGTGTAGCTTTGCGCCTTTCCTGGAGCTCACTTGGTAGCCCAGGCTGGCCTCGAACTCACAGAGATCCGCCTGGCTCTGCCTCCCAAGTGCTGGGATTAAAGGCGTGCGCCACCACCGCCCGGCCAAATGTTACTAAAATCTTTGATCATGTTTCCTTTCAATTATTATCTCTGCCCTTTACAGGGTCATTACAACCTTGAAATGAAACAATGTGTACATTTCACTTTCTAGAATATGTTCGTTGTAAACAAATGAGGTCTATAGTGTCTGTTTTTTCATACTTGGTTTCTTCCTCTCAATATTACTGTTGTGAAGTTTATTCATTTTGTGCATAGCAAGAGTGCATTATTCATTATTATTGTTCTGTGGTATTGTGTTATATAGATTTAATCATGTGATAGAATTTGTTCATCCATCTACTCTTTTTCATTTATTTACTTATGCTTCCTAGTTTTTTCATATTGAGGGTGTTAAAATTAATGTTATGATAAACTTACCTGTAAGGGGTTTTTAGTAGCCAAATGCATATATTTCTATTGTATATACAAGCATATAATAGAAATGAAATATCTCAGCTACAGGTTTATGCAGTTTCAATACTAATATGTAAAAAATCTAAGCTGTTTTCTGAACTGGTTGCTGTGATGGCTAATCCTAGCTGTCAACCTAAACCTAAGCCAATGGGAATTGTTGTGAAGGATTCTTTCATGTTTTCCCCCTCAGGATCTCTCCATAGAGCACTGGATATCCTGGAACTGTAATGGCCTTGAACTCACAGAGATGCAGCTGCCTCCTCTGCCCCTCAAGTGCTAGAATTAAAGGCATGGTTACCTCACCTAGCGTGTGAGGGATATTCTTAACCAGATTACTTGAAGAAGGAACACCCATCCTAAGTCTGGGCCCAACCTGCTGATGGCAGCCCACAGAAAAGGATGTAGAAGAAGGAAGCTTTTCCTTTTTGCCTGCTTGCTCTCACTCTTGTTGGCAAGCTCATCTATTCCGTTGCTGCAACTGGTAATAAATCCAACTTCTTCAGGATTCCAACAGACTGAAAGCATCAGATCTTCAGGAATGCCCCTGGACTCTGGCACCAGACTGGGACTGAGAGACATTCAGCCTCATGGACTGAACAGGGGCTGGAATCTTGGCTTTTCCATCATGAGATAGCCATTGTCAAGTTGACAAAACCTATCAAGAACATTCCTTTTTTATAGAGGCTGCCAGACAAATAACTTAAATTGCCCAAAGTCACTCATTAACTGGTTAATATAATTTAAATGGTAGACAGTCTTACATCAGAGTCAATGATGAAGAGTGCTGCATTATTGCATATCAACATGTAGTGTGCAATTTACCGTCCTGCTGTAATTGTTAATGATTCATGGAGCCTTACATAAATATTCCTCATTATAATAAAGTGTCATAGAAATCAATATGACACATTCAGTTTCCTAAAATCCTACTGGTCAGCCAGCCATTGAGTAATTGCCACTGCTGATTTCTCTATAGGTTCTTTCATGCTGACTTTTCCATTTTATCTTCTCTTCTGCGGCTTCATTTAATGTTTATAATACTTACACACACATCCATATTTGTGTGTGTGTGTGTGTGTGTGTGTGTGTGTGTGTGTGTGTCCTAGTTGGGGTTACTATTCCTATGATTAAACACCATGACCTATATAAAGTTGAGGAGGAAATGTTTTATTTGGCTTACGCTTCCATTTTGTAGTCCATCACTGAAGTAAGTCAGGACAGGAAGGAAGTCAGAACAGGAAGTTAAACATGGTAGGATCCTGGAGGCAGGAGCTGATGGAGAGGCCATGAAGGGGTGCTGCTTATTGGCTTGCTCCTCACAGCTTGCTCAGCCTGCTTTCTTATACAACCTAGGACCACCAGCCCAAGGATGGCACCACCCACAATGGACTAGGTTCTCCCCATCACTAATTAAGAAAATGCCTTACAGGCTTGTCTACAGGCTGATCTTATGAAGGAACTTTCCCAGTTGAAGTTTCCTCCTCACAGATGACTTTAGTTCAAGCCAAGTTGACATAAAACTACTACCCAGCATTGTATATGTATAAATATATTTTTATACATTATAAATAAATATACATTGTAAGTTTATAATATATTTAATATATTATGTAGTATAAATATATAAACAATATATTATAAGTAAATATAAAATATTTGTACATACATAGTGCTGGATAGTAGTATTATATATATATAGTATATATAATAGTAGATATATAGTAATATATATGTGTGTATGTGTGGTGTGTGTGTGTGTGTGTGTGTGTGTGTGTGTGTGTGTGTGTGTCAGAGTTTGGACATTTAAAATCCTTTTAAGCACCTTAGATAACTCCAGTCTTTGGATTTTAATATACGAAACAATTTAGTGTTTTGTTATTATTGTTATTGATTTCATCTTGTAGAGCCTCTGCTTTCTCAATCAAAATAGATCATCATGGTATCTAGCTGACCTGATCATGTTTTTTGCCTCCTGCAAACAAGTCAGTGTCTTTCCCAGTGGAAGAAAACTTGTATAAATCAAACAAAAATGGGTTCTGTAACAAAGAAACCGCAAACTACATAGTTGTTCAAATACAAAGGACTGAATTTGCTGCTCACATCCAGACCCATTAGGAATTCCCGATTGGTGTCTCCTCCGGTGGCCATTCTCTTACTGGGGGATGTGTACAGGAGTCTCCTTTCATTCCCCTGCTCCTCTGATTTCATCACACAGCTTTTACATATCCCATGCTTTTTATCATCCAGTCAAGGAAAGGAACAAGAACATGGAGGCTAGCAGCTGGGAGGTTTCGATGAACCAACTGAACCAAGTTCAAGATGGGAAATGTCTTCTGGATGTAGGCCCTGAAAGGGGAGGAAATGGGTCTAACGAGTGGCTGGCGGTCCCTGGGCAGCATGCAGCCCTCTTCTTCAATGAACCAGGCCTCTTTTGAGCAAATAACTGAAACAGAAGCAATTACCTTCATTTTCATGTTTAATAAACATTATGGCTTATTCACAGGACAGAGAATGCTCATCTGAAATAGGTAACACATGACTTAAGTTGCAATTGGACCAGCACATGGGGAAAAGCAGGAGGCTGAGATTCATATTGATCAAAGGAGAAAAGACAGGGGAAGGAAAGCAGTCTATTTGAGTCAATAGTGCCAGTGAATTAGTTTGCAGTAGTTTGCATTAATGTTTCTTTCTATTTATAATGCCTTCATGTTAACAGTACTCAATAAAAAATTGATAGTTTGCAGCTGTTTCCTGTGAGAAACAAAATCGGAAGGATGTGATTTCACAAACAGGGGAAATGAGATTTCAGAGAGGTGTGGTGTGCAAGATTCTAACTCCTGTTCTTCTGAAACTTGTCCATTTTCTGTAATCACTGTAGTGATCATCATACCTCTGTGTGTGTGTGTGTGTGTGTGTGTGTGTTTCTGTAACTCTGTGTGTGACTCTGTGTGTATGTGTATGTATGTATGTGTCTATGTGTGTGTATGTGTCTATGTGTGTCTGTATTTTTCTGTGTGTGACTCTGTGTGTGTGTGTTTGTGTGTGTGTGTGTGTGTGTGTGTGTGTGTGTGTGTGTGTGTGTGTGTTTTGAGGGCGATGCCAAGTCTGATTTCCCACTTCCCTCTTTACTGGTTGTTGTTCAGCCCACTTTTCATCTCTTTGCTGAGAAAACTGACTGAATTAATCAAGAAGAGTATGACACAAATCTGACATTTTCCCACAGAGCACTGTTTCTATTTGGAACACCTTTGGTAACCAGCAAACTGTTTCTCAGTTAAATCTTCATAAGGTTATTTCCATGCCCGTGTTAACTCTCAGGCAGTGGCTGATGAAAACTCTCAGGTACTCTGTATTATGGATATGTTGTGCTTTGTTTGCATTTATTCATACTTAGATTATTAGAGGTAAAGTAATCTATATTCAGTATAAGCAGGTACAGATTACATTGTTTTCAACTTTGCCATAATGGGGTTGACCATTTATAAAGGTATGGAAACCATGTATAAAGGTTTAGTGTCCAGGTGATGCTAGTATTGAAAAGTGATTGGATCATTAGGGTGCTAATTCACCAGTAGATTTATCTCAAGATGAATTCATACCTATTAGTGAGGCTTCGTTGGAGGAGGTAAGTTACTAAGTGTACCATTTTGGAGTACATAGCTAGATTTAGGGCCCCCCTTCCCCTCCATTTCACCCCTGAACCCTGCTGACAGAAGCATCCCCATGCCACACTCCACACCATTTTAATATTGTGTCTCTCCTCAGATCAGCAGACCAGGGACTGAAGCCTCTTACCAACAGGCCCAAATAAACCTCTGATCCTTTAAATTACCCCATCCAGCTGCCTTATCCCAATTATGAAAGGTGTCTAACACTGGTAATTTGAAGGTTTTAAACAAACATATTGGTAAGAACAAGTGTACTAGTGGATATTAATATGTTATGGACTAGTGTTCCTTCAGCACTCAGACTCCTATCTGGGAAAGGTTTCTCATTGACTGAGACATAGAAATTCTTTGCATAGTTGTCTCTTATAGTTTTTCTTGCTGTGGCAAAAACAAAAACAAAAAAACATACCAAAAGCACCTTGGAGAAGTGGTCTATTTCATCTTACACTTTCAGGTCACACTGTATCACTGAGAGAAGTCAGGATAAGAAATTAGGATAGAAACTCAGACAGAGACACTGAAACAGGCCTCCAGACCTTAGTACAACTGACACCATGATGGAAGTTCCATTCGGGCCATGAAACCCAGCATGGATGAATAAATACTTGCCAAAATGAGAACAAAGACCTAAATCAAAGCCCATAGCTTTAAGAAAGTCCTTAATGAACTAACCTTGCCTTTTGGTTTCTGTATTTCCACTTCTGACTAACAGTTCTCGCTAACTGTAGATCCAGTGTACATTTTTTGTGTTTAAAAGTTCACCCCCCCCCAAAAAAAAGTGCACCTGGGCCCCAAACACATAGTATATCCCTTGTCCTGCTAATAAAGTCTTTCTATTGGCTCGAACAAGTGCACCGATGGATATTATTGGCTTGAACTCATGTACAAGTGATCTCCTCTGATGGATTTCTCACAACAGCATTGAAGCAGAAGCCATGGAGGAATGCCTCTCAGCGGCTTGCTCTCTGTAGCTTGTTCAGCCTGCTTTTATATACCACCCAGGAGCAAGGGTGACACCACCTACAGTGAACTCAGTCTCACATCAGTCATTAATCAAGAACATAGACCTAAAGACTTGCCTACAGGCCAATCTGATGGAGTCATTTTCTCAGTTAAAATCTTCTCTTCCCAGGTATGTCTCGGTTTATTTCAAGATGACGACAACCAAACATCACAGTTTCTTTGTGGTGAAGAGAGCAGCAGCTGGGGGGGGGGGGTGTAGATCCATGGGAGTACACTTGCGTCTCAAGCATGAATGAAGCCCTAGGTTCAATTCTCAGTAATGCACAATCTGCCTATCCCCTAGAAAAAGAAAAAAAAATTAGTTATAATCCTATGTTTTCATTTTTCAAGGTTATTAGCTAAGAAGTTAAATGTTGGTGAAAGAGGGGAAAAATGTGGTCAGTACCACATTGGCCCTGGCACAGTAGTGTGACATCGAGGGAGATACTGAGCCTTTCTTTGCCTCATGTGTTCATCTGGAGAGGAAGAGTGATAAAGACAATGACAACTTTCCCGACATTCTTGCTTTATTAAATGAGTTGCTGAATATAAAAAACCTCAGGAAAGTACTTTGGTACAAAGCTGCTTGGTCTATAAGGGGAAAGTGATATCTGATTGATAGTAATCTTAAATTTAACTCATCTGTTAATCCCCAGCACCCATGTATATGTATTTAAGACTCGAATAGTATCCTAAAATCCAGACACATCGAAGCCTTTATTTTTGGATACATAAAAAGCATATGTGCATATTCAGATTTTTGCCATATAAATACAGTGAGAATTCAAATGACCTCTAACTAATGAATCTGTCCTTCACCTTGATTTTCCCACTTTTTGTTTCTTGGCACTTGTTGTACATTATTGTACAAAGATCTATTTTAAGTTTTTACTTTTTATTATTATCTGCCTGCCATTAACCTAACCAATGATTATCTTGATATATGCAATTTCTCTGAAACATTCCACCCATGCAAAATGTCAAATATCCTAATTAAGATTTTATAGACCACTGGAGTATTCCAGAAAGCATAGTGTGGCAAAGGGCACAGATACAATCTTTATACAAAGGTTGTCCTTTTAAGGATGTGGAAACCAAGACTTAGAGACTACCTGACTTTTTCATGTTCATTAGTCCTAAAATAAGATTCAGACCAAGTGCCCTTCCTTAGAAGAAGTAAGTATACATGGTAGGAGT